ATATTGTGCATCACCACGAATTGAGTAAGATTTCGTGTCAGGAGAGACTACTCCGCCAAATTTTGTTGCAAGAAACACCTACAGATAAAAAATATTGTTTAAATTTTCGATCAGAATCATCTGTCAGCAGTTTACATTGCGCTACATGTGTGTTTTTTTTAAACAAACTTCTTAATCAAAATCTTTCTCCTAACCTTTTTACGTTGTTCTGGATATTTCTTGAAATATTTTCCTAATAAATCTTCATTATCACCGTATACATCGGCACTATCAAAATAAGTACTACCAAGTTCAATAGCACGATCCAAGACTTTGAATCGTTCTTCATCGGATCCAGTAGTTCCATATGATATTGATAAACCCATTGCTCCATAACTAATAGCTGGTACCTTTGGTCCATTTTTACCTAATTGACGTTCAGATATTAATGAATGGTTAAACAATCGATTACACATCTCGGCTTTCCCAAAGAGAAATAAACAATTTTATAAAGAATATTAAATAGCTGTATTCAAGTTACAGTGTAGATCAATTGTCAAATCGTCTCAGTATATATACTCACATAGAATACCTGGCAAAATAAAAAAGGTGAACGCATTTTTACTATTTACTAAAAAAAGAAAGGTGAACGTATTCATACTTTACAGAAAAGAAAGAAAGGTGAACGCATTTGCACTTTGTAGGAAAGAAAAAAAGGCGAATGCATTCATACTTTACAGGAAAGAAAGAAAGGTGAACGCATTTGCACTTTGTAGGAAAGAAAAAATGGTGAATGCATTCATACTTTACAGGAAAGAAAGAAAGGTGAACGCATTCGTATCATGTGATAAAGAAGGAAAGGGCAATTATAAAAAGAAAAAAAACTGATGGTCTTGAAAATATCGGGTATTATTACAAAGAGTAAGGTAATTGCTTACGTCATTAATGGCATTGGTCAGGTCCAATGAGAAGTTAGTCATTATACCAAGAAATAACTGATATTTTCTGACTTCGTAGTGTCGTTTTATGAAATTATATAAATATGTATTACTATTGTCCATTTTAAAATAGAATGTCCTCCACTGTTTTTTGAATAATTTGAGAATGCAAGCAGCTAGAGACCTGCGGTTTTCACCAATTGAAAGAGAAGACCGAGAGACTTCTTTTTTTCGGATAATATATAGCAGAAAATCCTTTTAAAATTAATTATTTTTGAAAAACATGTAAAAGAAGGCATGAAAATGACTTGCTATGTAGATGAAATTGTGATTTTGACCTTTGATTCAGATAGAGGAAGCTCAAATCTAAATGGTGTGTGAGTGTGGGTATGGATGTAGTTAAAGAGAAGACACATACCCACATCCATATCTCACACTCACACCCACCAATGAAAACACATCTTGTGTACGTTATATGAATGGGATGATAGAATAAACACTAAAACGAACCAATCGTGCGCGCACAATAGTTAGAAGAAAAAAATATATTTAGAAACTCTGTTACAGGATCTCTAAAAAATGAAAAAGAGAAGAAAAAAAAGAGAAAACATATTTTTATACATAGATTGCATCGTCTATACTTCCACCCATAAGCTCATTCTCGTTACATACACCTGATAGATGAGCTTCTTCGGTATAACCACTCGACATCGAATACATTTAGTTCGGTAAATGATTTGAATTATCTGAATGTGGATGAGGATGTGGAGAAGATGGACGTTGATTATAATGACCAGGTTTTTTTGGTCCTCCTGTTGCTTTATGTTTAATAACAAGATTCCAGTCTGCTATTGGAAAAAAGTGTATCTTCATTATTCATTACGTACGTAGGTAAAGTTAGCCCCATATTCGAGTTTTTTTTGTCCGGATTCGTTTTTGGACTTGGATTGACTCTCTACTAGGTTAGGTTATATGCTGGATTAAACTCTGCATCGAATGATGCCACTTTCGTCTGGAATCATCCAGCTAAAATCTCATTTACACTCCAAATACTGAGTTTTTTGGGGACTTTTTCAAAAGTATTTCGCGTCCGGATTTGCTCTCTCACTTGGGTTAACTCTACAAATGGTTGGGTTGAGGATACTAATTTCGACTAGATTTGTCGGGCAAAACCAATAGATGACGGTAATAGTGTCAGGTCGAAATTTCTGGTCCTCGTTCGCCCTTACCTGTCGGTTTTGCCCGACAACCCTAGTCGAAATTGGTATCATTTGATACAGAATTCAATTTTGAACTCAACCCAACCATTTGTAGAGCTAACCCAAGTGAGAGAGCGAATCCGAACGCGAAATACTTTCGAAAAAGTCCCCGAAAAAAGTCAGTATTTGGAGTATAAATGAGATTTTTGCTGGATGACTCCAGCCGAAAATGGCATCATTCGATGCAGAGTTTAATTCTGCATATAACCCAACCAAGTAGAGAGTCAAACCCACGTCCAAAAACGAATCCGAACACAAAAAACTCGAATATGAGGCTAACTTTTCTTACGTTTAGTCATTGATGTTTCAGTTAAACGTGATATTGTAAAACGTGGTCGAGGAGAACTTGTTGGAGATATTAATGGTGTACGAATTTCATTTGATGGACGACTTGATGATGATGAAGGAGAACGAGAACCACCGATTGATATAAGAGATGGTGCATATGATAATGGTAATTCAAGTGTTGGTGACACTGAATTATTTGATGCTATTTTGATAGGTTTTGGAATTGTTTTTAATGTTTAGTTGATATAGCTGAAACCGTTGTTAATGAATTTGTTGTCATTGTTGCTGATGATTGTAATGCTTGTGAAAGATCAGTTGTTACAGCTCGTTGTCTTGATGGACGATTTGTTGATGTTGCATGAAATTGTTCAATACGTTTTTGAAAATTTGGTTGATTTTTGTCATAAGTTGATAATGATATATGTGATGATGTATTTAAGTTTGATGTTTTTGTTGACTAATATAAAAGTGGTTTTCTTGATAATGTTGCTGAAACAAATGTTTTAGCTTCATCTAAACTGTTTTCATGTTTTTTTTCACGTAACTGTTTCCAATTAATTGTCGGATAATAAGTATTATTATTTATTGATGTTGAAATAGATCGTTCAATACTTATCGTTTGTGGTTGTGGCTGTGGGTGTGGGTGTAGGACTTCTATTAGTCTGTATTCACACCCACATCCACCTACACCCTCGCCACCTATTCTTTGAACAGTCTGGACACCTCCTATAAAATCCCAATACAAACCGGTAGCAACGGTAATCTATCGGTCCCAATCGAATCGGATTGGTAGACCTCTTCTAGGATGTATAAAGAAAAGTTAGCTATTATTTTCTACTGGAAAATATTTGTATCAGCGCTGACATGCCAATAAACAAAGTATCTCGGCGTGAAGTCTTTTTCGACTATATTGAGTCCATCTTTTGATCACTGAACGAAATCGAGAATTACGATCGAAAAAAACATCGTATCAACCGACTGCTGAGAAGAAGTCCAAAATGCAAAGGATGACTTTCAATAAAAGATTCTCAAACTTTATGATGTTTGTTGATGTTGCCATATGATTAAAGCTTTGTATATAATAACATAAAGAAGTCAACATGGCATTAATAGGTAACAAAGCCCTCTGACTCATTTATATTTATTTTACCATTTGGAAAAACAGAAGAAAAGAAGAAGAACGTGAGTGAAACCATACTACTTTTTGATTCTGTATGATGAACCGCTGACAGCGAAAACTTTTGCGATAGTCTTCTACCTACGAGATTTTGGTGTGGGAAAAGTATGTCGATTTGACGAAAAAAACAATCTAAAAAATGGTCAAAATTAATGAGTTTGCTCTTATCGAAATTGCCAAAATGCATTTTCATATCTTGAAAATTTCGGTGCTACTCTTTCCAGCATACATCTATTTTAACAAAACTCTGCAAAAAAAGAATCCACATTTTTGTATGAAATTGCTGGTTTTCAAACGGCTGTCTTTCTCAATTTCAGTTCGATCAGATATGTTCGTTTTAATATTATTAGGAGATACACAATTTTACGCTGATTTTATTGATTAGTTGGTTTCAAGAAAAACATTTCGCCGACTGTTATTCGTATTTGCACTACTAAATGACTCAAAATAGAACACTGCTCGGCTCACTAATAGAAAGCGTAAAAGTGTCACTTTTTATTTAATTAGACTTGTGATGAAGCATATTTAAGGGCAGCCATAGATAAAGAGTAGTAATAATTTCTATTCTATGAGAATTTCGAGAATCCCCATGTGAATATTTTTTCACTCTAAACGTGTTTAAAGCATATTCAATTTGTCTCGGAAGCCTCAAGAACAATCACGTCTAGATGCAGAAAACAATAATCATTATCAACACGTTATTCCATATGAGATTTTATAAATCTCTTTGATTTATCAATACATTTATATTCTTTCTCGGTTTTGTATTTAATAATTGTAATACATACAAAAAGTAGAAAAGAAAAGAATAGAATATTAACTAAATGTGTTCTCCCTAACAGTCAGTAACGATAGACAAATAAAGTATTAGTTACAAGCATCAATAGTTTCCTTTGTATCATTAGTTTGAGAATTTTTTGTTTTCTTTTTGATACATCAGAAATATTTTCAAGATAGCTGATAAAAATAATTAGTAGACCAATTTTAAAAATTGATATGAAAACAAGATATTTATTATTGTTTTGATATAATATTTATTTCAAAAATCAATGCACCATAGATAAGTTCAATAATTTGAAAAATTTAACATTTTAGAGAAATTTTTTCACACAACATTCTGCACTTTAAGTTCGGGGAAAAAACTCGTTGTTCAACTTAACTTAAATTACATTGAATAGAGCTTACGAATGCTAAATACTAGATAAAGAAAATAGTTTTTTATAAGAATGCATTATAACAAAACAGTGCATGTATTAGTCAATAATGAATAATGAAACATATATTTTACGATAAGAAAGATTTAGACGCGTCAACGTTTAAATCAGATTAATGGAATATCATTAGTGTACTGCGTGATTGCTTTTTTTGATCACGATCACGATCACGA